AGTTTCACAAACTTACAAACAATATAATGTTGTATTTCTAGTCTGGAACGTCTTTGATATTTTATCGAGGGTTCACGATGAGCAATTTAATTACGAGTTGATGTAGATACGATCCGCTGGGAAGCTAGCTAGCTTTGCCCTTGGTCACACACACTAGGTTTTCCACGACGAATTTATATGTCTTCGTAATATTACTAATGTCCGATGAGAATCCACTGAAGTTAAATGGTTTGTAACGTTCGTAATTTATAAACATTCCTGGTCAGATATCTTAAGTTTTCCGATTGATAAGTTATAGCTTTCGAAGTTTTGTAGCACACTGATCATAGCGAACTAATAATAGACACTCTCCTTTGGTGCGTCGCATTGGTTATATCTATACCTGTGTGGAGGCGTTCTAGAAATTTCAGTCTTAGGTAACAATACTGGTTAAAACATTTACGTATATAGATATATTGTTGATTCTTACTCTCGAGAATCTTCCACAACTTTAGAGAATAGGTGGGACTTTCGCAATACCTATCTAACAGTATAAGCTATGTATGTTTCTAAATATAAACTTAATCTAAACAACGTTCATATTAAAATAAAAACATAACAATAAATTCGTTACAAGGAGGTTAACGATTGGATATGTGAGCCACCTCCTACTATGTTTTGTAAGTCCTTCTATAGTGCGCAGGTACCAAATGATCGGAAGTTAGCTAATGTCACTCCTCTTTTCTAGGGAGGTGATAAAAAGTGTCCCAGTAATTATAGGCCCATAAGTCTTACATTAGTCGTGGAAAAAGTTTTAGAAAGTTTGAGAAAATATAATTTGCAGACCCAGTTAACAAAGTTTATAATTTTATTGACATTTTTTGAAAAGGTTAGATTTTCAGAAAGCATTTGACAAGGTGCCACATAAAAGGCTTGTTAAAATGTCATCTCTGTAGGTGTGGGAGATAGGTTGGCTCACTAGACAGAAAACTGGCTAGAAAGAAGAAAGCAGATGGGGGTTATCATAAATGGATTTCAGTCAAACTGGATTAATGTCACAAGTAGGTTACCTCAGTCTTAGGACGTTTGCTAATTTTAATTTATATCATTTACTAGATGAAGGAATGATTAATAAGTTACTTAAATTTGCTCATGATATTAAGGTCTTGGGTGTTGCTAGCTGTGAAGAGAATGCTGCTGCTTTACAAAAAGATTGAAATCATTTAGTGAGTTGGGAAATAAATGGCAGATAGATTTTGATTATAATAAATGCAGATAATGCATATGTGTTATCATAATTTGAATTATAAGTATAATTTGAAAGTGTCATGAAGAAAGTAATCTTGGTGTAATGGTTGATCAATCTCTTAAACCATCCAAGCAGTGTGCTGTTGCTAGTAGTAGGGCAAACAGGATTTTAGGTTGTATCTACAGAAATATTTAATTTAAGTCTAAAGATATGATTTCATTATATAGGTCACTGGTTAGGCCACATTTGGAGTATTGTGTCCAATTTTGGGCTTCTTATCTTAGGAAGAACATTGAATTGTTGGAAAAGGTTCACAAGAGGGTTATTAGAATGGTGCCTGGGATGTAGGGATTGTCATATGAGGAGAGGTAGAAATCTCTGAAATTGTTTTCTCTTGAAAAAAAAAAGAGTTAGATGGGATCTAATTGAGGTGTTTAAGATTGTAAAGGGAATTGATAGTGTTGATGCATCATCATTTTTTATACTAAACAATGAAAATAGTAGAACTAGAGGGCACAAGTATAAATTTTGGCAGGGTAGGAATTATCTTCACTTAAGACAGTTTTAATTTTTAACAGGATAGTTAGCCTTTAGAATGGGGTTGCCTCGATACCTATATGAATGATAAGGGCTAGCTTTGATATATATTTTTAATTTATATATTTTATAGTTTTGGTTTAGTTTAGAGAATGGAACAGCCGATATGGACCAATAGGTCTCATGTTGTCCCCAAATATTATGTTTTGTTGTTTCAGTTAGCATACAATTACTGTATACTTTATATTCAATTGAGCTCCATAAACGGATTATTCACGTTTCTAAAAATTCTGTCGTTACTTATGCTGAAACATCTTAGCTTATATAGTACACAATTAACTTTCATACAATTTTTTTGCACATTATTTTCATATTACTATTTTAGTTAGAGTTCACATTTTTCATTTGTGTAACAATATGCGAAAACAAACTGAATTAGCATGAGACATTGTACTAAAGACATGTCACTACATAAATTAATAAATAATTCACTCCAAACTAATCATGTAAGATTTCAGTTAGTAGGCTCAAAAACTGTAGTTTATTGACCATTTTAAAGCAGATATTTCCTCACAAAGATTTACAAACTGTTTGTCTGCAATTTTACCTGGACGGTCACTGCATGAGATCTCGAGGCTGTCGTCAAACGCTGGGTCCCCAAACAAAATTTTTCTTTTCACCGACAGAAATAGCACTGTACTGACAATATGTTCAGCATTGTACACCTATTTGCCATTAAAATATTGCTTTTTATCGATTATCACAAAAGTACTTAAAAGTGAATAACATGCTCTTATGTTGCGTCAGCGAGTCACATGACCACCGTGACGCAACGTTTCTAGAACTATCATGTACTTTGGCGAATGTTCAAGTTCTTACTAGAAATAGGGTACGCTGGTATATAAAAGAGGGGAAGGTAATTTGTGTGTGTAGATAGTGAGTAATTGAACTGCAGTCGCACGGTATTGTTGAAGTTAACGTTCGTTCGTTATAGTGTTGTTTTAGCGCGAGTATTGAGATTAAGTATATCGCAGAGTTATATTCGGAAAGAATAAACCAGTTTTATTAAGTAAAGACTTGTGTCGTTAAAGTTTTGTTGGAACGAAGTTACGGAAAAATCAATTAACAAACGGAGACGTAACAGCATCTTTCCTACACATTGTGATACTACGTTTCATCTGCCACAAATAAGTGTTATTACACGCCTCCACACGTTGATGATAACTTTTCTCCTGCAGTTTTCATCATCTACAAATAATATAACACACACAGGTATGTTATCTATATAGCTATGAATAGATATGAAGATTTATCCCTAAATCTTCTACGTACCATCATACTGTGTTCGGATAAACTGCAGAAACGGGTGGAAAAATATTTGTCGTTAAAATATTTTATACACTATTAGGCTTAATAACGTTGTTACTATCACTTACGATAAAAGTGTATCCCAAAGTTGACGCTTTTTTTTAACTGTAATTATTTTTCAAGTAATATGTTTCAATTATAACTTGTTTTTAAACCTCTACATTGTATAACCATCTCCTCAGCTGTACAAATGTAAATTAATTGCCCTAGGAACACCATCTAACAACCAGAGTAACATATTGGTATTTTTATAGTATTTTGGCACATGTGTATAAAGTTAACATCATAAATAATATTCAACGCTAAACTGGTACACAGTTAAAAACATTTTATTTTTGAAGGCCATAGATAGGCCTAAATAAAATGTTTTTAACTGTGTACCAGTTTAGCGTTGAATATTATTTATGATGTTAACTTT